TGTGTGTGTGTGTGTGTCCCTGCGCGACATTGTATCACCGTGCTACATCTTCAGGTCTCTCCTCCCTAACCCCCAACCCCTCCCAAGTTTCTTTATGTTTCTATTCCTAGCTCTCTTGGACCGTGACGCCTGCAGGCTGCTGCTCTTTGAGTGTGTTCCTGTCCATCTACTGTTGAGTTGTTTTGCTGTGGCTGCTTTCTCCGACCAGGATCACCCCTTTCCCTTTTGGGTTACAGTCTATATTAAATTCCTTTGGTGATGTTAGCGCTGTGCTAACTTGGCTACTCTTTATATTGCGTTAGTTATTTTAACGCTAGCATAAACATCTTGTTTGTGTTGTTCCATAATGATGGACTGGAGTGTAAATTGCCACTTCCTTTGTTAAGAGCACTTTGCTAGCATCTGTCAGTGTTCATCATGTCGGCCCTTTGATGGATTCTCACTGGCAGAGAATAGTGCTATTGGGATATTTCACAGGAAATATATATGCATGAAGTTACTACTGTAATGCTGTAGGAAGATGGGAAACAACATGAATTACGTCAGTAGGGGGGTGGCTAAGTTAGGGTGTCTACAACTAGTGTTGTACTGTGTAGTCACACCTGTAGAGTGAGCCATGGGTACTGGGAAGGGACTGAAAGCTAGCTCATCTACAGAAAGCATTTTCTGGCTGTAAATAAAGGGAAAATGATATAAATGTCCAACGTGTAATTTGTACCCAGTGAACAACTAAGGAGAGATGGATTCTTTTTACAGAATAAAAAGTGTAGTACCCCTGTGGAGGAAGGGGAACTAGGAAGGACACCATCACTTTACTGTTCGTCTCTATGTCTTTTGAACTCATGTCATGGGAATCACCCTGGCTTCCTTCCCTCCCCCAGAAGCCCTTTCTTTCCCAGAGCTAACAATCAAGTGACCTATGTGCTAGATCCTCAGTCTAGCTTCTCTTTCCTCTTTCTATTGGTTCTTGTGAGTTTTGCGTGCACACCCCAGTCCTGTTCCTCTTCCTCAGCAGTCCCATTCGCCCTTTGTCCTTGCAGCCCCCCCAGTAAAACATGCAAACAAACAAACAAACAACCCGCAAAGCATAGAGAACACTTCATCTGGAATCTGTAGGGTGTCACAGTGTGTCCCCTCTGACCACACATCTTCACTTGCAAACGTTCATTGTGATGAGTTCTTGGTCTGGCGTCTGTGACTCCATCAGTATTGGATCTTCCCTGGGCCTCCTCTGGATTGTGTTATTGTTGCCCTGTGTCATGGAGATCCTGCAGTTTTGAACCAGCAGGACTTTCCCTTTTCATGCATCCCAACCTCTTAAAGACGATATAGATTTTGGGGTGTGCCAACATAGAGCCCTGGATCTGGGCCTGGGTGGCAGCTGAGCTAGTCAGCATGTTGGTTCTCCCTCATTTGCAGAGTGAGTGTTCCATCACTGACTGGTCCAGCTAGGCCATCCAGTGCCACCATTGTCAGGAGGCAGGTCAGCTCTTCCAACTACAGGGGTGGGGGAGTCACCTCTGCACCCAGTCTGCCTCACAACTGACACGTGAGGAGTTCTGGGCTGGCTCTCCTGCACTCTCCACTCTCACCCCTAAAGTAAACTGGGATCCTGCTGTATTCCAGCTGACCTTGCTTCATGCTGTAAATATGACAGAGTACCCAAGAAATAGAGTGCTTCATCTCATGCATTGAGTCATGCGGCCAGATTATCAGCGCCCTCAAAGGTTCTGAGCGTGTGGCCTTGGCCCTGTCCATCCATGTTGTGTGTACGTTTCCCAGTCATTTCTAATTCATTCTGTGAAGATGCTTCAGAGCCCATCTTTTGTTAAGTCTGTAGTGAGAGGTGGGAGCCTTCAGAGACCGCAGAGCACATTCCAGTGCTTGGTTCTTGTGCACTGTGGAATTGTCATGGTACATTGTTGTTTCTGAAAAGCCTTAACTTTTTATATGGTTGGCAGATAAAATGTGTATTCATATGTATATACTGGCTTAGAATTATAAATAATCAAAGATGGCAATGATGTTTTTCAAATATAAATCTGTGCTTTTAATATTATACAAAATATAATACTAAATGCATTTTTCTGATATTGTCATATCTTTTATTACTTACTGCATTCTTTTTAGTTACTTGAAGTAACAAGGGCTTGCTGAAGCGTAGTAACAGTTTAGTGAGTTAAGGGATAGATAGACAGGACCTTGCTGTGTAGCCCTTTCTAGTTTTGAACTCAAAATCCTCCTGCCTCAGCTTTTGTCTTTATGGTAGACCATATGATCCCTCTGCACGTGATGTTTTCTCTTTCCTTTAACTTTTATTGATTCTTTGTGAATTTCACGTCATGCACCCCATTTCCCTCATCTGCCTGACCCTTCCTTTCTGCCCTTTGCTCTTGCAACCTCCGTACCAAGCTGTAACTGTGTCATAGTGTATTCTGTACTTCCTCGCTTCTGTACACGATCTTAGGAGATGGTTGTCACAGGCTAGAACCCCTGCCCACTCCCTGAGTTCCCACAGTCCAGTCAGCCCTTATACTCAAATACCACCTGAGGCAGAGCAAACTCTCTGCAGCCATTCTCATGAAATTGGATTTTGATTTTGTTTTCAACTGTATTTAGTTTCTGTGGTTAGAAATAGTACTTCAAATTTTGGTGGAATCTGATGATTTTGAACATTTAAAGCCTTAAGAGTGACTTGCAAGGCTATGATGTTTCTAATGGCTTTTGGCTGTGGCCTCCTGGCTGCTTGTTTTATAGGCACTGTCAGAGTTGCACTGTGTGCTGACTATGGTTGCCCTCTAGGAAGCATCAAAGCCTAGAGCCCGTGGTGGCTCCTGACTGAAGCTGGATGAAGAAGGGTGGGCTCCCAGGCAATCTGCACATGTGCTGTAGAGCAGGGCCTTCTTATTTCCTTGCCTACTGTGAGGCAGCCCTGCACCTCTGTACTGTCTCTGTAGCAGGGTGAAGGCCCCACTTGATTTGAAATCCTGCTCTCAATGAACTTGGGGCACATAGCAGAGTATCTCTGCGACAAATAGAAGGGAGTGGGGGGAGTGGTGGTAAGGTGATAATAATCTTCCAACTCCTGCTCAGTCCCCACAAACCAAAGTGTCACCCTGTGCAAGCAGCCAGATTGTAGAGCTGTGGCTTCCATGGTGGTTGGGTGGCAGGTGTCACTCCCACCTCCTCATGATGTGGCTCCCATGTAAACCCAGGCAACCGCAGGGGAACCAGTCTGGAAGGGTGGGCCGTGCGCATCGCTCATACAGACTCAGCACCTGGCTTGTTAGGGCTTCTTAGTTTTGTTGGAGATTTTTTAAGAGTCTGTGGAATGCTGTTCTCGGGCATGCACCTTTACCTTAGAGCCAGTTTAAAGACAGCTTGCACTGACCCTTGGCTGGTGCTGGCCGGTGAAATCCAGTTTGTGTAGCTCATGGACTTTCCAGTACCAGCTCTTGGCTTAAGAAGCCAAGGAATTTGCAGTGTGTTCTGTGTGAGACTGGGGTGGGGCAGGTGCCTCTTAGAGAATTTTACTAATAAACATTAATTTCCCATGTAATGATTAATAAAATAGAAGTGGTATATGGTTCTCTAAGGCCTATTTGAACTGACAGAGAAAGGGAGAACATTTTACCTGGTGGTAGTATTTTCCCATTCTTTTTATCTTCCTCTCCCATTAGAAACTTGTTCTTCAACTTTCAGAGCCATGTGAGAGGCAGTGCAATAGGCGCTTAGCCTCTGGCCTCTCTCTTGCTCCAGTGAGCATGTACTAAGTAGCCAAGACCTGCCAGGCCGGGTCTGTGAGGTGGGGCAGCATTTGGATTGTGTGCTGTTTCAACAGAACACCAAACCTTGCAGGCTGGAGAGAGCTGAGGAAGGTCTGAGTTTCTCAGCTCTCCACAGGTGCTTTGGTGTATTTTGTCCCCCCTCCCTCAATGGCTTTTTGTTCTTTAATGTACTTTTTCTAAAGATGATGCCACAGAGGTGTGTGGGGCCTTCCGCACCTGGGGGTTGGTTGGCTTTCTAAAAACTCACACTGTTCTGTCAGCTTTTAGGAGGGCAGTTTAAGATTCAGCTATTAATAATGTTGTCATTAATTATTTTTTTTAAATTGGAATAATATTTGACCAAAAATCATAGTTCAGCTATACAAATGTGGTGGCTTACTCCTGTAAGCCCAGCCAGCACTTGGGAGGGTGAGATAGGAAGATCATCACAAATTTAAGGCCAGCCTGGGCTAGTAGTTCCCCACACCCTCTTACCTGTTGGAATAATTAAGCAATACATCCCAGTTTAGGATTAGGTAATACAGTGAGCTTTGGCTGTGGTTTTCCCTGAGTGGTGACAACTCACCTCTAGCCCACAAAACTTCAGCTCCACGGTGCAGTCTCCTAGTCAAGGTGCCTGCGATTCTTAGTTATTTCTGTCATTGATTCATCACTGTTTTTGCTTTTGATAAAGTATTAAATGACAGCTGTCACATGTTTAAGTGTTGGCTAAAATGTAACATCACGATATTTAATCATGATCAGCTCTTGTTTCATTTTGTCTATTGTATGAAGCTTAACACTCGGAGATACTGATGAAGGATTGTATGTTTGTGTTTGTCTAGGACATGTCTCAGGAAGGCTATGGAACTAGATCTCAGCCTCCTCTGGCCCCTGGAAAATCCAACCACGAAGACTTGAATTTAATACAACAAGACAGACCATCGAGTCTACCAGTAAGACATTACTATGCTGATTGATTGGAAAATGTAATGAGTTAAAGGGTTCTGCAAACGATTGTTTTGCCTGCTCTGTTTTATATTATACACAGAAAAGAAGTTTCTAGGTTCCAGATTTATTTAAGAACCGTTTGCATTTAGGCTTCTTTCTTGAGAACCCTGTGGTTCTGTTAAGTCTGTTTTGTTTGCAGCGTGTCCAGTAGAGGGGATCAGACAGCCACTGTTGGAAGGTTCTACCTGACTGGCTGCCTTTGTGAGAATAAGGAACTTGTGTTACCGATCTTTTTCTAGCCTGTTGAGTTTTTGGTAGTGGTACAGATCAGAAATGTCAGCACAAGAGTTGAAACATAAAGAAATTCTGCTTTGCAAATGGTACGGTGATAGGATACGGTGTTAGTAATTCGAACACACTGTCATTGACTCTGCTGTACATAGCTAGGAAACCCTAGAGTCTGTGAGGGGAGGGGGCAAGTCTTACAGAAAAGTCTCTTCGTGTTGAGCTCTGATCAGTTCTTTTCTGAAGGAATGAGAACGGCAGTGGAATCTGTGTCCGTGTTTGTGTCAGAGGCTTTTTAAAAGCAGGTGGTTAGTGTGGTGGGTGTGGAGTGTGGATGCCATGTGCCTGTTACAGACTCAGCCTCTGCCAAGGACTTGGAATTAAAGTTGAGTCACTAGAGGCAGGGGCCCAGTGGATTCCATCTTCGTTGTTTTGGAGCAGACTTTGTGGGTCTGTCATTGGCTGCTGTGCAGGAGGTTGGAGAATGTGTCACAACAGGTATCAGCTTTCTGCATGGCCATTTGAACAGTGTGCAGTGTGCATTACTTCCTTGTAGCCACTTGCAAGCTTAGCCATCACCAACACACACTCACTTATTCAAATGGGTGGTTGATACTCAGCTAACTCTATGGCACAATTGGTAATTAAAAAAAAAACATTGTATTTATGTCTATATGCCCATATCTATGTAGATATAAAGGCATACAATATATAATTTGCTACCCACTTTGTTGACCTTGCCTACTTCGGGAGAGTATTTCGGGTTTCTCACTTTGTCTAGTTCTTTCTTCAGGGCTGTTCACAGGGGGAACATCGGCACTGGCGTTCTCTCTCTGGTTTTATCACTGGTTTGCTTTTGAGCTCACAGAGGCTGACAGACACAAGTCACCCGTCCTAAGTCACATTTCTGTGCTGTTTTTTGGTTTGCTTGTTTTTTATGAGAGCAGTGCTTCTAGGTTCTGTGGCAAGTCTGTGTGCATATGTGTGCACAAGGCCGTGTGCCTAAGCCCCCCAGTCTGTGGGGTAGAGACTGACGAGTTAAGTGAACTGTACTGTACTGGTTTCTTCTGCAGGGCTTCACATGCATAAACAACTCTATGTGAGGTTTACAAATATGTTTTTGTTTACATTACTGCTTTATAAGTTGTACATAATTAAGGTAATTATGGCTTCAGGGAACACTGGTCTTCTGTCACAGCTTTCATGGATGCATGTGTACAGTGTGACCTCATGTGATGCAGCTGCTGGCTGGGCTAGGCTGGGATTCAGGAGCTATGACGCCACTGTTAGTCATGTCTGAATTTGTCACTGGGCTCCTTGTAGGTTATCACGTAAGCTATGCCTTACTGCCTTAATGTCATCAATTTTCTCCTTAAAGATGCCTTAAGACAGTGTAATCCATGGTTTGGGGGCTTTTATGTCTTAAGTGAGCTTTTAAAGCAGAGAATAATGATTTTAATGTATGATTTTTAAGTCTGCCTGTCGTGTACATAGGAAAAGCAGAGACTGCTTCTTGAGTCTCTTTCCTTCTTTATCCCAGTTTGGTCCTGGAGTCACAGGGAAGTTCTAGAGAGCTGCTAGTTTTCAGTGTGCATTGGAATCCCAAAGAAGTATGCTCTAATACCAGAGAAGAAATGAATGGCTCCTGAGCTGGATGAACTTGCCAGTGAGAGTGAGGGCAAGCAGGCAAAAAGCTTCCTTCTTCCATGTCCTTTTACCTTGGCTGCCACCAGAAGTGTAGCCCAGATCTCACAAATGATCCAGACTTGGTTGAGTCTTCATAGGACAAATAACCCACTCAAGAATAATTCCGCATGTGTGTCTAGATGATTGAATTTTAGTTCATTCCAAGTACAGTCTAGTTGACAACCGAGATTAGACAAGATTAGCTTCTGACCAGCCAGGAACGTCTATGTAGACCAGGCCAGCCTTGAACTCACAGAGATATGCTTGCCTACCTCTGCTCTAGAGCATTGCTATAAAAGTGTGTGCCTCCATACTTAGCAGAAGTAGTGTAGATAGTTCCTGTTTGTTGTTGTTCTTTGGTTTGTTTGTTTGTTTGTTTGAGACAAGAGCTCTCTGCATAGTCCTGGCTGTCCTGGAACTCACTGTATAGACCAGGCTGGCCGTGAACTCAGAGGTCTGATCCACTTGGTCTTGCCTCCCTAGTGTTCCACACCTAGCAGAAGTCATTTCTTACTTTTGTTTGCTCATAATGAGATAGGTGCCACGGTTTTTCTGTGTGACCTATATTTTCTCCTTTAACATGTTTGCTAGACAATTCACCAACATTTGATAAGGAAATGCAGACCGTTCCACTGATCTTCAGCTGCATCTTTAACTGAATCCTTAGGGTGCCTTCATGCCAGGCTAGAACCTGTCTGTCTGTTTGTGTAGGTCATTTGGTTCCCGATGATCTTTAGTTGCAGATACAGTAAATGTTTTCCAGTTGCCTTAGCCAGAGTCTCCCGTTACCTCAGGAAGCAAAGGGCTGATAAATTCCTGCTTGTTGTCTTGTCTTGGGCCATGCCCAGTAATATTTACTTTTTACTTAATGGGCTAACACTAAGCTCTGAGCAAAGCTCCTTTGGCAGTGTCCACTCTGAAGCTCTCGATCACCCAGGTCTCCTTGCTAATGTGCCTGAGTTTAGATGGACTGCTATTTCAATTATTGATAAACATTGGCATATAGTGTGTAATATAAAAATTATCCTGAAGCTCTCCCCCTCTTAGGACAGCGCCACTTAGCATTTGAGTGTGCTCTGTAGTTTTCTTTGCTCCTGATACTGGTAGTAAATGGAGCAAACATACCAGGAAAAGACAGGCTGAAAGGTCTGTTATAGCAAACCCTGTAGCGTATATACCCTGTTATTTTGCAAACCTTGGGCATATCTCAGTTTGTAGCCTCACATAACTTCCAAAGTGTGATCAAGTACATTAGCTCCTGAGTATTTCGTGCAGACATGCTTCTCATGACACTGGCTCGTGCTTTCATTACAGTTTTTACGATTGTCTTGACTCTTTGGTTTAGACCTGTATCTTTTTATATAAAAAGTCTTTAAAAGGGCTGGAGAGATGGCTCAGTGGTTAAGAGCATTGACTGCACTTCCAGAGGTCCTGAGTTCAAATCCCAGCAACCACATGGTGGCTCACAACCATCTGTAATGAGATCTGATGCCCTCTTCTGGTGTGTCTGAAGACAGCTACAGTGTATTCATATATAATAAATAAATAAATCTTTAAAAAAAAAAAAAAAGTCTTTAAAAACACTGGTTTCAAACTGTTCATTTTATCACTTGAGGATCTTTCTCAGGGTATTGTATTGGCCTCAAGAACATTTGTGTCTTCTCTAGGCTAATGACACCAGTTGACATCGTAGGTGTGACAGCTATGTTGGCAGAAACTTGTCCTTCTCCATACCATTTTGTTTTCAAATTTGCTTTCCCTTGGTGATCTTGGGTTTCTAGGGAAGACGTGGACAATCTGGATAATTAAGCGAACAATAGCTCAAGCACTCTTTTTTTTTTTTTTATTAGTAATATATGCTTTTGCTTATAAAAAAGTAACTGACAAAACACTAATCATTGTAATTTGAGCCACTATAGTACAAAACATATGTTCTTAGTAAAATACTAATGAATATATAAAAGGAAGTAATAAAAAAACTGAAGGTTCTCTTTTTTCTTCAAAATGCCAATGTCTTACTTCTTGGAAATGTAGCAAGCCATTTATATGCCCTAGTTTGGAAAGAACTATTTTGTTGAGCCTATCCCAGAACCCCACGGGTAGATGAGGGTCACAGTTCTGCTTCCCCGAGCTCACTGTGCCTGTCCTGTTCTGATAGTACTTGGGAAGAGGCACAGTGGGAGGCAGTGGGGTAGATTTACAAATATTGCCTATTTTGGAAGTTCCCTCAAGTCATTAAAACTCGATTCCTGACCCGTCTTCCTCAAGCAGAACTGTCAGGAGATTGACACACAAAGAGTTTGATTTTTCACAGTCAGCTAAATAGTGTTGTGTTCCTCTGTGGATTGCCCTTTTTGAAGGGAGTGAGATACTCTAAGGTAGTTCTTAGAGTAGGGGATATTAAACAGGGCAGCCTTATAGAGAATATTGAAAACCTGTTATCAAAAAATACACTTTTGGGATGAAGTATCAACTCGAAAGTCCTGTCTTTTTTCTTAGAAAAGTCTTTTTTCTTAGACGAGTCTGGTTTATCTGTGGTTGTTTTAGTCTTCAATAACATTAGGGGTAGGAGGCTGTGCGTTTGAAAACAAGAGCATTGATGGTATGCTAATGGTGCAGTTAAAGTCCATGAAATTGATACTGTGGTTCCTTTGATGATTGGAAGCCAGAGAGGGGACTTGGAGAAGCAGTTTCTTAGCTGAGTTCTGATTTCCTAGTTCTCAGACCAGCCCTAAGCCTATCTCAACCTGCTGGCAGGTTTCTGCAGAACTCACATCTACCAGACGAATGGCTGCGGGATGAACTCTTTGGAAAGTTTTTTATTTGTAGCCTGAACTTCATTTGAATGGTTGTCATGAGGTTAAGAGTGTAGCTGTCTTCCATTGATTGATCCTTCTCAAATCATTTTAAATGCTTAAAAAAAATTACAAGTTAATGAAAGAGATCTCATGTGTCTTCATGCTGCTTTGAGAGTTTGGGCATGGTTACTGCTTGTGTGTGGGGTTAGCTGTTTGCTTAGTGTTCCTGAGTGTCA